ACCATGTACGAAGCCTAAGCACAAAAAAAGAAAATACACAATGTAAGTGAATGTCCTGAAGAGATAGAGGAATTCTCGTTGATGTGTGGAGAGCGGCATGACCAAAGATGAATGGACACTCGCCTTAGAGACAGAAGGTACAAGAGTGACCTACAAGCTAGACACGGGTGCACAAGCAAACCTACTACCCGAGAAGCTGTATAAACAAATGAAACCCAAACCGAAGTTGCACACTGCAAGAGTGAAAGCCACAGGATACTCTGGTGTGGACATTCCCATCACAGGCAAATGCATGGTGAAGGTGCAACATAAAAGTGAGACACACTTCATCGCATTCCTCATCACACCAGGTAACTTTCAGCCAATATTAGGCTTAAAGGCATGTGAAAAGATGAACCTTTTCAAACGGGTTCTCAACATCAACCAAAATCCTTCGGTGACAGATGAGTTTCCAGATGTATTTACAGGATTGGGATGCTTGCCTGGACAACATCACATAACTATCAGTGATGATGTTGTGCCAGTACAGCACGTTTGAAGAAAAGTAAAGGAAGTTTTCTGCAGGTGTGCCCACTCCAAGACAAGCTAAAAGAGGAGCTGAAGAGAATGGAACAACTGGAGAGTAATCACAAAAGTATAGAAGGGCAGGTTGGGTTTCTTCCCTGTGCATTGTCGACAAGAAAAACGGCAAGCTCAGAGTATGTCTCAATCTGAGAGATCTGAACAGAGCCATCAAAAGAGCTCACTACAAATTGCCATCTCGTGCAGAGATTATGTCACATTTTGCCGGCGGAAAATTCTTCAGTAAATTAGATGCGTCTAGTGGATTCTGGCAAATTCAGCTGGATGATGCCAGTTCTTGGTTGTGTACATTCATCACACCGTTTGACAGATACAGATTTCTGCGTCTTTCCTTTGATATTACAAGTGCCCAGAGGTGTATCACAAGATCATTCATGACCTCTTTTCCGAAGTACCAGGAGTGAACACGATGATGGATGGCATCATTGTGTGGGGTTCAACCAGAGAGGAACATGATCGATGTCTCCAGCAAGTACTCGATATTGCTAAGCAGAACAATCTGAAACTCAACAGTGAAATATGTGAGTTTGGAGTCAGCAGTTTGACATTCACAGGAGATGTCATCAGCGACCAAGGAGTCCAGCCAGATCCGAAAAAAAAGTCTCAGCCATTCACAACATGGAGAGACCACAAAACAAGACCGATGTTCAACGGTTCCTGGGCATGATAAACTACATGGGTAAATTCATCCCAGACCTGTCTACCAAATCGGAGCCACTCAGAGTTCTACTTGACAAATATAACCTCTTCACATGGCAAAATGCACAAGAAAAAGCATGGACACAACTTAAGCATGATCTGACCACAGAGCCATTGCTAGAGTTCTATGACCCGACAAAGCCAACAAAGCTATCAGCCGATGCATCACGCAATGGTCTTGGTGCAGTTCTACTACAGCAGTATGACGACGCATGGGCACCAGTTGCATATGCCTCAAGAGCAATGACTGATGCAGAGACACACCATGCCCAGATAGAAATAGAGCTGTTCGCAATAACGTATGCATGTGAAAGATTTCACCAGCACATCTACGGGCAACAGGTGGAAGTGGAAACAGACCATAAACCACTCATTCCACTGTTCACTAAACCACTGTGCAACTGCCCATTGAGAGTACAGCAACTACTAATCAGAGTCCAGCGATATGAGTGTCCTTCACTCCAGGCAAGTTCATGTACACTGCAGACACACTGTCTAGGGCTGCAGACCCTACTGAAGAGAAAAACAGCCATAGAGTTGAGGACATCCATGTATATGTTGACACAGTGCTGAAATCCATGCCAGTTTCATCCAACAAAAAGCAGAAATAAGAGAAACACAACGAGATGAAACTCTACAGACCTTGAGAAGAGTAACACATGAAGGTTGGCCAGACATCAAAAGCCAATGCCCAGCTAGCATACATGACTACTGGAATGTGCGCAGTGAATTATCAGAAGCTGATGGCATGTTGTTCAAAGGGACAAATATCATAATCCCTTTATTACTGCGCAAAAAATACATGAAGGTCACCTCGGCATTGAAAAATGCAGAGCCAGGGATGTCATGTATTGGCCTCGCATAAAACAAGATGTGAACAATATGGTGAAGAACTGCAACGCATGTCTGACATATCAGAAAAATACACCGGCAGAAAAACTCCAGCCTCATCCAGTTCCCAATCGTGCATGGGAAAAAGTAGGTGCAGATTTCACAGTGGACTATTTCTCACAGTTCATCGAAGTCTGCACACTGAGTACCACAACCAGTAGAACTGTCATAAAGAATATGAAGTCAGTGTTCTCTCGACAAGGAACTCCCTGTGAAGTATTTACTGACAACGGCCCACAGTTCGGAAGTGCTGAATTCAAACGCTTTACTGCAGATTGGGATTTCGTTCATTCTACATCCAGTCCACAATACCCTCAGTCCAATGGACTTGCAGGGTCTGCTGTGAAAATCATCAAGAACATGATTCGGAAGGCAGCATGCAGTGGCCAAGATATCTACAAGGCACTCCAAATCAATCGAAGCAGCCCACTTGAGTGTGGAAAATCCCCAGCTGAGTTGTTGTATAACCAACGCATCCGAACCAATCTGCCTATTGCAGATAGTTTGTTGGAATTTCAGCATCTTGACACTCAAGCCTTCAGGAGGAGAAAGATGGAACAAAAGAGCAAGCAGAGTATGCAGCACCAAAAGCAGACTGGAGCACATGCCCTACCCCAGCTTCAGACAGGTGACACAGTCCGACTACTAGACATGGAGAGCTCCACTTGGTCTAAAGATGGAGTGGTGATAGCAACCCTTCCCAATCAATCCTACATGGTTCAGACAAATTAACACCGGTACACTCCGCAGGAATAGACAAATGCTAAGGAAGACAACTGTCAATCAACAGGGGCAAGAATCTAGTCATTCTCCATTGGATACACCATCAGTAGAACAGGCCCCATCAACCAGTACCTCAATGCCAGAAGCATTCAGCACACCCAGTGTGAGCATAACTCCAGCCAGTATGCCTACTCCAGCCAGTATGCCTGCTCCAGCTAGTATGCCTGCTCCAGCCAGTATGCCTGCTCCAGCCAGTATGCCTGCTCCAGCCAGTATGCCTGCTCCAGCTAGTATGCCTGCTCCAGCCAGTATGCCTGCTCCAGCCAGTATGCCTGCTCCAGCTAGTATGCCTGCTCCAGCCAGTATGCCTACTCCAGCTCAAAGCAACATGGAACTCCTGAAAATGACTCGAAGTGACCGTGTTGTTAAGCCACCAGACAAACTGAACTTGTGAATGTGCCAAATGGTTCACCTGCAAAAGACTGAAGAACTGGACTTTTGCATGAAGTTGCATGCTGATAGTTTAGAAAAGAAGTTCAGCTAACAGTTAAAGTGTTTAAAACTAATTTAAAACTAATCCAGTGTTATTCAAGTTATTACTAACATTGTTTAGAATTTAAGAATTTAATGTCAGTCTCCCCACAGTTACGAAAACCAAGAACAACAAATTAGTACGAGATCTGAATCTGCTTTTATTATTATTATTACTTTTATTATTATTATTATTATTCCCACAAATGTACCATTAGGGAGACACGTTATCGTAATTTCTTCGACAAAAGGGAGACACTGGTCATTAGGGAGACATTTTCATGTCTCCCTAATTCCACAGCCCCCCTTTAGAGGCAAAATTTTATCGTCGCAATCAGGTTATATTTGTTGCTCGTGGTCTAATTAGTAAAAATACCGAAATTCGTGGAAAAAGGACAAGGGAATATTGGGTTAGGGCACATTTAAGTTTGAAAAATTTTGTGCACAAGTCTATGGGAAGGTCTCCCAAATGACCCATTCCCGGTAATCGTTATTATTATTATTACTATTATTAGCAACCAAAGCATCTAAAATGGTTGGATTAGAAACATTTTAAAAGATATTTAAAATTACATTTGAATTCGAAACATTAAAACATTTAAATAACAATGCACATTAAACATTAAAAGCTCCTGTAAAACATAAAAATATTCAACGCAAACCAAATTACTAGAAACATACTTTCACAGAACTAGAACATTACTAACAGAGCTCCAACGGACATGACAAATATTTAAATTTTAAACAAAACATTTCAGTTATAATTAAAATATTTAAATCATTTAGACACACATGCATTCACAGGAAACTTCACCCGATATAAAAACACTTTAACATAAAATAGTCATTAATATCAACATCAGCATCAACTTAACATTGCTAAAAAGTGACTGACAATTAGGACTGTAAATTATAGAGACACCAGGGAATGAAACTATTCTTCAGTCTGTTCGTTTTTAGAAAGGCAGGCTGAACTGTCTTTGGTTCCTTAATGCATACGATACACGCTGGTGTTTTTCGAGCAAATGATTCAGCTTATGGTTAGGATTTGACATGTCAGCGAATAACTGCTCACACAAGTGACTTCCTACGGGCATATAGACTTTGAATATCTACCTGCTCCATTGCCTTTGCATACGACTTACCAAGGATAATAATTCTCAAAGCTCTTCGTTGAATGGATTCCAACAAATTGGACTGTTCCTTAGTTAAGCTGCTATGGTAAACCTGGCATGCATAATCAAGTATGGATCTAATACAAGCAAAATAGTATTTGCAGAGTTCCAGCTGGTTAAGACCTGCCCTACGAAGTTGCACTAACAAATAAAGTCTCTGAGCAGCTTTTGTATACACAGCATTAACATGAGTTTCCCATCGTAAATCATCACTGATGTTCAACCCCAACATTTCATTTGTTTCACACGATCAATGTTATGATCATCAATGTTTATGCTGGGAATTAACGGCACATGTTTACGGAAACTGATAACCATTTCTTTAGTTTTATTTGGATTAATCCGCATGTCATTATGTGAGGACGAATCAATCACCTCCTGCACCGACTCCTGCATTTTGGATTCATCTGGCGATGTACTATTTCATACAGTGTTGTATCATCAACATATTTGACTGTGGGCAGGGAGGGTTGAAGATCTCCAATCATCATGATAAAAAGCAATGGACCAAGTTTTGTTAACTTTGGGACTCCACCATTGATGACAGTCCACTGCGATTTACAGGTGCCGATCTTCACACGCTGCATTCTGTGTCGCAGAAACTCTGTAACCCAGTTGACGATGACTTGATCAACATGAAGAGATTTCAGTTTATCGATGAGAATCACAGGGTTGATCCTATCAAATGCCTTGCTGTAGTCGAGGAAAAGGACACGCACCATGTTCTTGGCTTTATCTGTGGCAGAGTACCAGTTGTGCAACAGGTCAATAAGAGCACAAGTAGTTGATGAGCCCGGGACGTTACCAAATTGGACTGGATCTAACTGCGGCTGGTACTGCTCCCATAGCCATTTAAACACGAATCCCTCAAGAATCTTCACTAGCACGGCGGTGAGGGAGATTGGACGCAAGTCATTCTCTACTGAGGCAGGTGGAGTCGTTTTTCGGGATGGCGATAACATCAGCTGCCTTCCAGAGCTTGGTAGAGTTGCTTGGGCCACCGAAGCAATTAAAGATGGAGCAGACGGGTCTTGCCAACATGGATGCGTGATCTAGGAATTAAATCTTCACTGTGAGACTTGATGCTTCCAGCGGAGGTAGGTCGGATGAGATGGATGCAAAGAAAGAATTCACTAATTCCGCAAATTCTTCCTGATCACCATGCGCAACATTGTCGACAAGGTTTTTCAATGGATCATAGTCGTGTTTCTCACCTGTGAGTGACTTTACTTCGTTCCACCAATTTCTGCTTTGTTTAAGGCCCCGTGGATTAATTCCGATTTGCGTGCGCCCCCGTGCGCCTGCGAGCGCACGCGTGCTCATGCGTGCTACCCCGTGCTGCACGGGTCTGCCCGCAATTGCATAGGCCCCTGCGTGCCGTTGCGTGCAGTTGCGGGCAACTGCGTGCCATTGCGTGCTTATGCGGGCTATTGAGCACAGGCAAGGGTTGCTTACACTAATCCCTAGATTAACGCTGACAAAAGAAATTGGGTAGCCGGCCAAGGCGGCACCAGACAAAGAGGTTGTGATGAAAGGGCTGGAGTTCCAACGACATAAAAGACGTTGGTGCATGGCAGTGCCACAATGGTGTCTTGATTACTCTTTTATGATACGTGACATTACATGTACATGTGTACATGTACTACACTTTACGTACGTATGGCTGGGCTATTTTCATAGCTTTTTTTGCGTCGTTTGATTTGAGCTCCGGATATGTTATATTTCTTGTTTTTTTTTTCGTTGAGAGCTTCGGTTTTATTTAAAAGACACCGAACGTTCTTACTGTAAATATGAAAGTCAGTTGAAAGACTGCTTTATTTATGTCATTATTCTTAATTTATATTACATTTTTAAGAAAGTTCCACTCCATTATTCAAGTTAAACACCAATTATTGAAAGAGAAAGAATACACATGATCAAGTTCATTTTCATCATTCAACTTTATAGTCCTCCGATCAAAAGGTATCAAGCAAATCAAACGAACAAGTCATGATAGGCACTGCTGTACATCAATCATAGGCCTACACGTACGTATCATCATGATATGTTGATAAAGTTATAGGCCTCATAATTGGGGCCGCGCCCATTCAAATTGAGAGTCAAGTTGAACATGCGTGCACGCGTTATTACTGTTACCGCGAGCCAGACTACATGTAAGTCTGACACCACTTCCATCAACGTACAATAATTATGGTTGTAGACCAGTCTGGCTGCAATGGCGTCTCGCCGTTGTACAAAATTCTCTCATTTCGCTTCTGTACCCCGACCTTTAAAAATTCTTTGCGGCAAGGTGCGGCAAACTTTCAATAATTTCTTTTCATACCACTGTTTCAATAAAAGTCTGCACTTTCTGGGTACGAGTGTACCAGTCCGTACCATTTTATTTATAATATTATTATTATAAATATCTGCAATTTATCATTAACATTTCGTTAACATTTTCTGTCATTTTGGAATGCGTGTAATTATTGGTACCACCAGAGTAGATGAGTCATGCTTGGCCCTGCCAAGTGTTTACAACCAACTAATGAGCGGATTAAGGGACACAATGGCTAAAGTCCAAGACGATGTCTATTGTGCATTTCTGCGGTTTGTTTGTAATGCTGTACCGCCTGGCACTGAGCCCGTTTGCGTGCCACTGCGAGCAAGTCCGTGCCAATGCGGGCAGATGCGTGCCGATGCGGACCAGTGGGTTCAAAATCTCCTTTGTTTGAGTTTGCCCGCATGCGCACGCATGCGCCCGGGGGCGCACGCAAATCGGAATTAATCCATGGGGCCTAAGGTCCAGTAGATCAACTTTTGCCTGAAAGTACTGTTTCCGAATCGACTTCCTCAACCTGTTCACTTTGTTTCTGTAGTACCTATACAGGGGCTGGTGTCCTCCGTGCCATGCATGCTGTCTCTTTTTTATCAAATCCCTAAAACGATCTGTGACCCAAGGTTTTTCACTTTCAACTCTGGTGACTTGCTTCCACTGGAAGTGCCGGTCTACAAGGGATGCGATGGTTGTTTCAAACTGGTCATATTTATCTGAGCAAGGGATACACTGGTACAATGGAGTCCAGTCCACCTCCTGCAACTCATCTTTGAATGCTGCTTTTGCACGTGGGAGAAAGCGTCTAATAACCCGTGAATGTTTTTTGGCAGGTTGCATTGCGAACGACGGCTTGGGTTGACAAACCACCACTTGATGATCAGACAGACCAAGCGCTGGTTCAATTGTTGGTTCATAGTACACATCACTCATGTTAGTGTATATCAGGTCCAGGCGCGCATTGTTTCGTGTTGCCCCTTTAACGATTT